TGCGTGCGTGCGTGCGTGCGTGTGTGTGTGTGTTCCTTTACACTTAGGAATGTCTACTTCATTCAGGAAGTAAAAATACTAATAAACAGAAGATATCTGTCTCACCTTCAAATGAGCAGACAACATCAGATCTATGGCTGGGTCATGAATGCAAGTGAGCAAAGAGTGAGCTCCATCAGGTGTCATAACAGGCACACAGTCAGCGCTAGCACTGGCTAGTTCTTCACTCGTACCTTCACGCTTCTCTTGAATCCGATTTCGATGTGGAGTTGATGGGATAATATGTACACCGAGCTTTTCATAATAGCTGGCCTGCTTCAAATTTTCTTCAGAAGAGCAAAGGTAAGAGAGTGAGTCTTGTTTGAACCATATGAATTTCCAAACCAAGTATACTGCTATAATACAAAGTATAATCACTACGGTTGAGCTGTTCTTTTTTACAAGAGGTGGAGCATAAGAATTCCACAGCCTTTGAAGTCTCATTCTTGCAACTGCATACAGGCACGGAGACAAGAAACATTGCAGAGGTCAGATCAGTGCTCACTGCTGCATGATCTATTGATCAGGAGTCCAAATAAGACCTGATACACTTCTGAAAAAAACAAAGTCAAAAGTCATAGTCAATGCTCAGACTTTATGATACCAATTCATCTTTGTTTTTCAATACATTTCATCTTTTAAGGGAGACATTTGTTCTGACCATCACACATTTTTAAAACAGAAAAACTGATGCACATATCATATCATGAGCATCAGTGAAATACTCTTGTCTCATACGAAGTGTAAATTTATTTGTTCAATAGATAAAGACCTGACTCACTCTCAGATACATTTGTGATTCAATCCATCTTTCACTTGGGTCACAAATATCGACCCAAACCTGTTAAGTACACAGGTCTCATTAGATCTAGATCTAGTAATTATTCAGGTTCAAATACATGCAAGTCAGTTAGGCATCTTTTGGTTTTGTCTGAAATACAAATATATACTTTAGGCATTGCAAACTAAAAATTTCATTTACAATTCAGACATCAATATTAAGTACGGCTAGCCTGCCTGTCTACCCGTACTTAAGTACGGCTAGCCAAGAAGTCTAGCCGTACTTAAGGCTAGACTGCCAGTCTAGCCGTACTTATCTTAGTAAGGCCCTATTAACATATTAGAAAACAGGAGGTTTAAAATACATGCACTGTCATTTTTTAAGGCACCGTGTTTTGTCTGAAATACAAACTTTAGGTACTGCAATCTAAAAATTTATTTACAATTCAGAAGGCCTATTTTTTGTTATCATCAGTCTAGCCATCATATTAAGAATAAGTACGGCTAGCCAACCAGTCTAGCCGTCATTAAGTACGGCTAGCCTCTTCCTTTTAACACACAACCCCTATCACACCAAGTAATAACACCTGTCTTAGACGGCCACCTTAGTGACTCCATTACGTTTTGTCATAAATTGTGCATTGGCCCCTGGCATTGTGGGCGAGCCGTCATCTAATCCAATCACCTGTTTGCTGTGTTAGGTAGTCCCTCCAACCGATCATGTTGCGCAGGCCCCTCCCACTGTTGACCAATAGGTAACACATTTTCAGCTGCTGGTGAGGTAAACGTGTGATCCCTCATCATAACCCATAAGTCCCGCCCACAACTCATACACATATCGTAAGTGAGATGAGTGGTCACTGTTTACCCAGTCTGTAACAAAGTAACAAAGGACGTCAATAGGAATTTGTGACAGAAACGTCGCTGGTTCTCCGAGTGGAGACGACCCATGTGTTTTGTTTTACCATAGCACTCGGTCCTCCTTGTCTGACACATTTCGTTTTAATATCACCCTTCCTGCTTGCACAAAAGCAGTAACAGAAGAAAGAAAAAATAAGAAAAAAATACCCAGCGAAAACAACAACAACAACAACAACAACAACAACAATGCGGCTACCTTCGGTTGGGACCTCTGAACTCTGAACTAAAAGGACGAATTCTACGTAGATCTCTACGTGGCCTAGATATTATTAGGCCTAGAACCTACCTATTGAAGTTTGGAATTATGATGCCTCAAGATCTAGATCTAGATCAAGATTCTAGATCTCTAGAGTCTAGCTAGATTCTAAAATCTAATCTAGAATCTAGATCTAGATTCTAGAGATTCTTGGCCCTCTTTGTTTTTAATTTTGTTTGTAGAACCAGAATTTAGTCAAAGAGTGATCTCCCTTCCCTTGTTGTTTTTCTACTCAATACGGTGTGTACCCACAATTGACGCCGATGTACATTTCCCTTAGTAAGTTAGATATCTAGAATAGATCTGTGTAGAGGGCACTTCATGAGAAAGTCCTCAGTGCAGTTGACAAACGCATGAAAAACACGTGCACCATAGAGATCCAACAGTGCTCTCTCTCTCTCTCTCTCTCTCTCTCTCTCTC